AATTTGGTTGATGATTGCATATACCATAAGTTCTGTGGGAGTAAGTATATTTTTCTAGTTTTATATGTCGATGACATTTTACTTGCCAGCAACGATATAGGCTTATTGCACGAAACCAAGAGATTTCTAGCTAAGAATTTTGAGATGAAAGATCTTGGTGACGCTTCTTTTGTATTAGGCATACAAATACACCAGGATCGCTCTCGGGGTATTCTTAGATTATTACAAAAGAGCTATATCGAAAAGGTTCTCAAGAGATATGGCATGCAGGATTGCAAACCAAGTGATACCCCTGTGGCTAAGGGAGACAAGTTTAGTCTCAATCAGTGCCCTAAGAATGATTTTGAGGAAAAGGAAATGCAGAAGATTCCTTATGCGTCAGCAGTAGGAAGTCTAATGTATGCTCAAGTTTGTACGCGTCCGGATATTGCGTACGTTACTGGGATGTTAGGCAGGTATTTAAGCAATCCAGGAGTAGACCATTGGAAAGCAGCCAAACGGGTCTTGCGGTACTTATAGAGAACAAAAGACTACATGCTCACGTATCGGAGGTCATATCAGCTTGAGATCGTTGGGTATACTGACTCCGATTTTGCTGGATGCCTATATAGTATGAAATCTACATCGGGCTATATCTACATGCTAGCTGGAGGTGCTGTCTCCTGGAAGAGTGCTAAACAATCTCTTATAGCCTCTTCTACCATGGCAGCAGAGTTCATAGCATGTTATGAGGCGTCCAATCACGGAATATGGCTGCGAAATTTTGTCACGGGCCTGCGCATAGTGGACGGCATTGATAGGCCACTCAAGTTATCTTGTGACAATAAGTCAGCAGTGCTGTATTCCAACAACAAAGAGCTCAACGAAGTCAAAGCATATAGACATCAAGTTCCTAGTTGTCAAAGAAAGAGTTCATAGTGGACAATTGTCTATAGAGCACATCGGTACAAACTTCATGGTTGCGGATCTACTTACTAAGGGATTGCCCCCCAAAGTGTTTCATGAGCACACTGCTCGTATGGGTACCATGTCATTATAGGATATTCATTTTTAGTGGGAGTTTATAATTTTAGATGCTTCTATGATATAGACATATTTTCAATTATTTCAGTTTATGGATATTTTGAGGTTATTTTCCGCAGAAATAAAGTTTTAGTTTATTCACACTCTGATTTTTAGTATGGTTTGATCTCACTAAAGTTTAAGGTGGATCGGTTGGAAATAGGCATGTTAAGATCACATTACATGAAATTATCATGCTACACATTCACATCATGATCCATGTCATTCAGTTGTATTGGCATACGTGATCATTGATCGGTCGAGTTACGACAGTTGTAACGAATGCCGCTTTGATCCTATGTTGGTATGATTGATGGACGGATTGGTTACAGATACATTTCGGTAATGACAGTAAAGTTGAGCTCATACGGTTATTTTGCAAAGCATAATTATAAGGTTACACATATAGCCTAAATGGGAGATTGTTGGATCCTTAATCCAACGTTGGGCTTATATGTGAATAATTATGTGTTGCGAACTGTCATATAAGGTTAAACCCAATAAAAAGTGATCTACTAAGGTTTGGATATTTTGGGTTTTAATGTATCTAGTAGGGTGTGGGCCTTTAATGTGTAGAGACTTAAGAGTAATTTCTATTTTTATGATGGGCTAAAATAAAAATACCAAAAGATAACAAGGAAGTTATCAATAAATGGCAGTTATGGTCCTCAGATCACACGTAACATTTCATTCCTTCTGACATCTCATCATCAGAAAGAGTACAGAGAGAAAGTTAAAGGGTTCTCTAGGAAAACGTGTTGATCTGGAAGACAAATTGTAAGACTCTAGAGAGAAATCAAGCAATATGGATTCAGGTATGCTTCCGCTTATAAATTTATTAATTTTTGATGATCTAACATGAATGTTATTGACTTTTGGGTGATGGTTTTCACCAAATCATTGATTTCTAACATTGACTACCATTGAAACCACCAGGTCTTCTCTTATTACTTGGATAACCTTGATTATTGGAAACATTAACAGTTGCAAGATTCACTAAACTAATACTAACAGAGACTAGATTTTTCATGTTTTTCTCTATATAAGCTTCCTGAGCAAGTAATAGAGATTCAATGTCTTCCACACTATAATCATCACTTCGAGCATTAGTAGTAAGAACAAAGGTATCATATTCACTGGTACGACCATCAAAAATAGCATCTACATGATCTTTCACAGTTAACTTGTGGCTGACTAAGGGAAGCAAATCAACGAAATTTAGAATCATGAGCAGAAAATCATTCATTGATAATGATCCGTTCTTAGTGCTCTGTAACAAAGTCTTGAATTGATCTTTCTTGGTTCGAATCTGAGAAGCAAAGTATACTTGAAGAGTAGACCAGATCTAAGAAGCGGTGTCACAATTGACCATTCTAAAAAGCACTCCATCAGACATGGAAGATAGTAGCCAGGACACAAGAAGCTGATCTTGTTGATCTCGTTAAAGAAACTCAGAGTTCACATTATTGATCAATTCGTCCTCGACAATGAGAAACTGAGCTGGAGCAGATTCCGATCCATCAAGAAATCTCATAAGATTGTGTCCACGAATTGTCGCTATGACTTCTTTGAAATCAAGAAATTGTTATTGTCCAGCTTCGACGCAATTGGATGATTGAAGGAGATAGGGCCAGATCTGATCACGCTAGAGGAAGAAGAAGATCCTCCAAAAGAAGCACATTGAACCGACGGATTCACCATCGAAGCTGTTCTTGTCACCGGAGTCGTCGCCGTAGCTGCTCTCGTTGCCAGATTAGTAGCTCGAACCGTTCCCGTCACCGGTAAAGATTGCTCTGATACCATGTTTGGTTTCCGAGAAAACCACAGAAAGAAAATGAAGGAAAATAAATTTGGAAAAATTGAATTCTGTTATTAATTTCTCAACTGAACAAAGTGTACTGTTATGTGTCTTAAATACAGATGCTAAAGTCAAACAAACTTGGACCTCAACTAATCACTGAGTGATAAGTGTACAACTTTAGTAACAAACTAATTACTTCTCAATACACTTAAATAAGTTAACCTTTTAAATAGAAGTCTAATACCGTAATTCTTCTCTTTTATTTTTCTTCTTTATCTCTTCTCAAATTGTAATATAATATTAGAGCTCATTGCTCAAACGAGCTGAATTGATTCATCAATATATAAGATTAATGACTCTTAATAAAGCACCATCTTATGAGAACGTGTTAAGTTTAAATTATCTGAGTTCCATAACTTTTTAAGATTAAAGCCTAATATCTTATAAAGTGTAATTTACCAATTTTTCTCCCTCACTTTTTTCTCGTCTCTCCTCAAACTCTAATATTATCAAGGATAGGTATTTCTTCACAATATATATATATATATATGCGTAGTTAATTTTTTTCGAACCTCAAACATTGAATTGAATCCTAGTCCACTAAGAAAAACATGAAACTGAAGTCACTTAATGCTATTGTTAAGCAATTTTTGTGTTAACTGGATTGATCAATCAATTATATATGAACATGAATTTGAAGTCCTAGTCCACTAAAAAAATAAAACACGAAACTGAAGTCAATTGATGCTATTGTTAAGCAATTTTTGTGTTAACCGAATTGATCAATAATTGATTCGAGTTTAGAATTTAAGTTTTATTACAGTAAAAAATTCTCAGAAACAATCACATCTGACTTTTTTATTATAATAAAAAGCTCTTACATAAAATCATATCTCAACTCAAATTAAAAATTTAAATTAGTGAACTAAACGAGCTCATATATTCTCAACCTTAAAATGTGTTTATTGAAATAAAATTTTCTTTGTTATCTATTAATAATAACGATGATTTCTTTAGTTCTAAATACTGTCTTTTACAATAAACAAAGAAATGGTTTAAAGAGGCAATGATGTGTCAGCTGGCAAAATCCTTTCCAGCCTGATCAGCCGGTTAAACCAAACATTACCTAAAGACTAAAGAGAGGCAGATAAAACATAAAATTAATAAATAGAGGAATTTCATATTCAAAATAAGACCAGACTGTCCTCAATTATTGATTGGACGGAATAGCTTAATCATACTCTCACGAAATGCCGGTTTGGATTGAGTTTAGAAAAAATATTTTTGACTTATTTAGTCTAAAAAAAAATTTTAAATATGTTTGGATGAATAATTTTAAAGTGTTTTTAATTTTTTTAAACACTTTTATAATAAATTATCTTCTTGATGTTTATGAAAAGCTTTTTTATTTACATTTTTTACTTTTTATTTGTGAAGAATAAATTAATATTTTATCTATATCTTTTTATTATATTATTTTTTATAATAATAAGTGTTTTTGACTTTTTTACCCAAACAAATTCAAAAGATCTTCTAAGATATAAAAGTTTTTTTTAGACATTATCCTGATTAAAAAACACTAACTTATATTTATATTCTTTTACTACTTAAAAATATAAGCACAAACTTTATCAAACGACTCTTCTAGTGGTGCGATAGCAAGCAAAGACTTTCCCCATTTTTATTAGCACTCGATTTTGTATTTTATATTTTTTCGAGGGGAAAAAAAAAAGAAGCAACTTGAACAATGTATGGTATATAAACTTTGGATATTGTCGTCATAAGCTTTGACAAATAGTATAACGTCGAATACAACGGATTTGGTTGGTTGATTAAATTAAATCATGCTTTGTAATATAAAAACAATTTGGACCTTGTTATAGTTTCATGGTTTTTTTTTTTTTTTTTGAACTTAAGGCTAATGCAATTGAAATAGATGGATTTGATAACGATGGATCAGAGATTAGCTTGTAGGTAAAACATACAGCATTTAAAGTATCAACCAATTCAATAGCTACACTGAAAGAAAATCTAATATACATTATGAAATGCTTGATCTTTAAAACCAATTACAACGTAACTATAGTCTAAAAGACGTAAGGAGAAAGCATAGAATTATTAAATTAAAAAAATTAAGTGGCATTGAAAAATATATAAAAAACTTTATTAAAACTATGCATTTGCTTAATCACAAACAAATATTCATATTTGTACCATTCAGAATAGCTCTTTTGCTATACAGATTACATATTCTGGTTATAACAAATTATATTCTTGTGCATCTTCGTAGGTAAAAACATATATGAATTTTACCGACTTATTGCATCGTAAACCATATGGCAATTAATTTGATTATGCCCTATACATTTTCTCTATGATACAGATAGTATTAAGTTTTAATTTTCTTCACCTCTACAAATCTACAAAACAAGATCATCATAATCATTAACACAAACTACCAACTTTTTTCTTCATCATGATGATCATCGATCGATCGACGAGCGTGCGTCATAGTTCACAGCATTCAACCTCTCCATGATGTCTTTCTTCTCTCAAGAATCCAAAACAAATGGAGTCTGCAGAAGATCGTAAGGAGCCCAGAGAGCATCCAACGGACATAGCCGGTTGGCGTCGAGGCGGGCCCACGGCTTGCCTTTCCCGCTCCAATGCAAGAGGCTGACCGGGCCGGGATGAAGGTCTCTGCAGAGGCCTCGGAAATTATCCCCTCCGAGGCCGTGCTGGTTCCAACGGTGATCCACCGGAGCAATGTTCCCCGCGAATACCAGCAAAAACGGAGGCAAAGACCCCAATTCGTAAATTCTCATTCTCTTTTGTAGCTCCATCCATTCCTCGATCTTGCTCGTGTAGTCCCCCGCTCGCCAACGGTCCAGATCGATCACCATCACGCCGGTGTTGAAGTAGCAAGGCCTGCGATTCGCGAAGGTGAGGGAGAGAGAAGGGTTGGACCAGAAGGTCGGGGTGAAGTAGGAAGTGAAATTGGCGTTGCAGTATTCGGGAGCGGCGAGGACGGATTTGTCGCCGAGTTCGGTGGCCGCGAGATTGGCGATGTCGTCGACGAGGATGAGGTCGGAGTCGAGGTAAACAACGCGTCGTACGCAGAGGGGGAGAAGGTTGGCCAAGTAGCTCCTGGCGTAGTTGAGAGGGCAGTCGAGGGCGGAGCGGATGGAGGTGGAGATGAGGCCGGAGACGGCGGAGTCGTCGAAGGGGTAGATTTGGAATTTCAGGTAGGGGAAGGAGGAGGAGAGGGTGGCGCGTAGGAGGGACGCGTCGGCGGAGGCGGAGGCGACGAAGTGAATGAGGACGTTTTGTGGACAGGAGGAGTGTTGGAGGACGGAGAGGATGGCGGCCATTGAGCCACGGATGTAGGCGGTGTCCAGAGTCATTGCCACGTGGACGGCGTGATCTGAGCATATGTGGTTGTCGTTTTCGTCGGGGTCCACTTCGGCCTCGTTGTCGTCGGCGGTCAAGGAGGGGCAGTCCGGGGAGTTGTAGAATTGAGGAGCTTCTCTGAATTGTACTTGTTTTTGGGCAGAAATATTGGTAGAGATTAGTATGAGAAAAAGATCAAGGAAGAGGAAAGAAAAGACTGGTAATCTGGACTTCATAGTGAGTGTTGATAGTTCTTTGTTCCCCTTTTTTTTTTCTTTTTTTTTTCTTTTTGGATGTGTTGAGACCTTGAGAGAGTCTCTGAGGGAGAAATGTACTGGTTGGTACCTTTAAATTGGGGGATTGTGGTGGGCTTAACAACACGCACTTGTTTTTTCTCTTTTTTTTTTTTTTTTTTTTTGGTGGGCTTAAAAACCCCCCCTTTTTTTTTTTTTTTTTTTTTTTTTTTTTTTTTTTTTGGGCCAAAAAAAGGTGGGAAAGAGAGAGGAGGAATAAAACTATTAGCTGGATGGTTGGCAGTCAGAGCTTCATAGAGAGCTTAAGTCAAGAATAATCCAAGAGAAATTTTATCATGTGTCACTTGAAATTATTACTATTAAAAAAAAAAAACATTTGCACGTACTTATCAACCGGCAGTCAGAAAGTCATGCATCATGATTTATCTCTAGTTCATAAATGACGTCTTAATTAATCGCCATCTACCATTCATTTGTAACTATGCACGTATACAGTAGATATTTAAGTTTCGACTTTTGAGTGACTCTTGAGATGTGATATTTTTTTAGAGTTTTTAGTCCTGTTTATTCTATCGATTTGAGTTTAAAATTTAAGTTTTGTTACAGTAAAAAGCTCTCAGAAATAATCACATCTAACTTTTTTTTAAAAGTTCTCACATAAAATCACATCTCAACTCGAATTATAAACTCGAATCAACGAAGTGAACGGTTCCTTTAACTGTAACAGAAAAAGTTAGATGTGACATTTTTTTAAAATTTTTAACTGTAAAAATTTAAAATTAAAAATTCGAATGGTAAAACGAAGGAGGCCTATAAAATGAATTAATTATGCAGGGGATCGCCATCTACCATTAATTTGTTACTATACACGTATATAGGAACAAGAAAGGAATTTGTTACTGTACACGTGTTTTGGGATTTTTTTTTTTTTTTATGGTTGGTTTACCAATACATGTATCATTAGGCCAAAATGTCATTATTGCTTTAGATGAGCATTATCAGAGAGTCATAAATATCTTTAAGAATATTAAATCTCATTTTTGTTTTCTTCTGTGTTTATAAAAATAAATAATTTGATCCCCATCAAACAAGTATAACGAGCACTGAAATTTTTTCAGAAGCCTTACTCAACTCTCATAATTTACAACCAGCAGAGAAAAATCCAAGAAAAGAAAAATAAGTTTTTGATTTTGATTATTTATAGTCCATTTGTTGACATGAAATGTTCCATTATGATAGCGTGATTCCAGATTCATCACCATGCACCTTTTCTTTAATTAGGAGTACATACGGGACCACAAGCTTGTTAGTAGGGACGCCTTGGTCCTGATTGTCAATGCTTCATCATCAAATCACAAACTCTACATATAACTGTATTTTTGTTTCCATCATAAAATTTGCCTGATTTTTTTTTTTTTCTTAAATATTTCTTGGGACTTCAGATTGATAATCTCTTCTATTTGCGTATGTTGAACTATCGCCGTCTAGGAAAGTTATTTTGCAGCAACCGTGTCCTCAAAAAAAATAACAGTTAAGAAATAAAAGAAAAAAGAAAAAAAAATCATACTTTGCGACCAAGTTTGGCTTATTCTACAACTATTAGAAACTATAAAAATTGCATATATGGAAAATGTTAGGTGATCATAGTCATGACCTAATTCCATTTAATTATTTGGTGGCAGATGCTTCTTTTATTTTTTCCCCTTATCATCAATTTGGGTATTTAATTTTTGCGTCATACTTTGCTTGTAATTCAATCGCAAAGTACCTTGATCTCAAAGTTCATGAATAACCCTTGTTATCCATGTACAAAAAAAAATAAAAATAAAAAGAGATGAAAAAGGGAAAAGATTTGTGGGATCAAGTTTTAATTATAAAGAAACGTTCACGTTGCTTTCCTAATATTCTCAAAGAATGATTTTTCTCTTTTTCCTTTTTTTTTTTTTTATATTTTCCTGTTTCTTATAAGTAGCCCAGCATGTCCCATAGTGCGAGCCCTAGAACAAACCACCGATAATGGCACAATTAAGAACATCGCATGCAGGCAAAAGTAGTAGTACTGAACCTCCATGTCCATAAAATTTTCTCTCTTCTGTTCTCCATATTCTTTACATTCTACCCGCATGTTGAATTAATAACTACTCACAACACGGCAGTATGGCCATGGCATCTCTAGTACAGTCGTTCCACTTCAAGTCATCAGATCTCTCATACTCATATTTTGTGCCGTCATATATGTATGTATGTATGTATGTATGTATGCATGTATGTACATGTGTGTGTGTGTGTATGCATGCATGTATTTATGCATGTACCTATAAGAAAAAAGACACTCGAATGCCTTCATGGATGATCAAAAGTTTAGTAACAGTTAGTTTGTCTTTCATTTGGTCATAATAATAGCATTGGTAGCTATTATTACTACATTGGATGTGATCAACTTTGCAATATGATTTGACTTTTATATATTACATTATAATGCCTGCATGCAATTTTTTTTTCCTGTCACACATTTATTTTTGTCCTTGGATCATGAGTACTAGTTATATATAGTGCATTTAACATTGGTTTTGATAAATCAGAAACTTGCATGTGATTCTTATATAAAAGTACCAATTCCAATTAATTTGGCCCCCTTCAGATCCTAGCTAGCAGCTTGATTGATTTATATTTGGTCCCCTAGTTGAAACTAAAATTAGCTAAGCTTTCATTCAATCTACAAAATTCAATAATTTGAACACAAAGGTCAATCCTTTATGTCTTCATCACTTTGATGAGAGAGGCTTTGCAATTATTGGACGATTTATTGTTACCAAACGAGTTCCTTTATAACCAATTAGTACTCTTTGGCTTAAGACAAGAGGATGTGTGGTCAAGATGCAGTACATAATATCAATAAGTAATCAACTTTGGTGTAATAATCATTACTAAATCATGTGTGCAGTAAATGGGATCCTATATTATGTACTGAGCAGAAAACAAAATTGAAAGAAAAGCCAGTAGAATTGCACACACGCATATATTTATATATTGGTCTTGCTCTTTTCATAACTTAACTTTTATTACTATAGTGTTTTCTCTAATAAAAATTTAAATTTAACTTTTTATTACAGTATTTTATAAGTACCGGTTTGAATTTTTTAACACTTTATAAGACAATATGAATAATGCAGAAATGTAAAATAATAGAACACGAGATAAATGGTAACGCGGTTCGGTAACAACCTATTCCGCGGGGCCACGCCCAGATGATGAATAATCCACTAAGAACTCTTTTACAATTCACTTAGAGTTAATCTACCCGGGACTCCCTCTCTAAGAAGACGCCTATGAACTTGTAATTTTCCAATTGACTTGAACAGCGAGATCCCCTCGACTCTTTAACATTAGAATCCCTCTAACTAAGTTTTTCTCTCAAAAACACTCAAATCATCTCTCTTGAATACAAGTGCTCACCTATCTCACAACCCAGCAAAACTTATCAAAAGGTGTACAAAGACTCGAGAGACTCTTTGAATAAATAAGCAGAATGTTAACAGCTTGACAACCTCTTCAATTAATTCGCTGAACCAAATCTGTTGCAGATCCTTGTTGCAATAATAACTGCAACATAGCTGTCAATGTCAACTTTCTCAAAACCAGTCCGAATTAATCTACTTTAATTCTGAAACCTTTTCGAAACTGATATATGAATCTGGACACATTCCTAGGAGACAGAGGAAGATCACCCAGCTACGAAATCTCAATCAAATATCAATCAAATTAATTTACCATCTTTGTATCAATAGTTGATTTACAAAAATAGAAACTAAATTAAGTTTTCAGATCTTTTAGAAATTTTTCATAAAGAATTTGTCAGCTGCACATCTATTCTCAAACACAATCAATCATCCAATCATTTCTAAAATAATGTCAATCATAAAACGAATTGAATTAATACATAATTTAGGAAACAAATTCCAACCTATTTTTTCACATACAACTCAATTTTTAACATAGCGAATAGTCTCAAATTCAAGGCGCTAATTGAGTATTGCATTAATTGAGTGTTACACAAATACATAAATAATGTTATAATAATGACTGGAATGTATTACAAGTCTAACTGATCCAATGTCTAACTACATGAACTATCTATGTATATACGTATATATATTACGTGGAGCGATAAATTGGCATAGTATTTTTTTGACACTAAACGACAAATAGTACAGAATATTTTAATTGGATGACCGTGCTATTATCGACTCGTAGAATTGACAGTGTACTTGTGGAAAAAAAATTTAAAAAAAAAAAAAGAAAGTGAGACGTCGAATTGAAAGTTTCAAGAGTCACCGACAAAACCCCAAAACGTGTGTGGGTCACGACGGTAATAAAAGTCAAATTAAAGTTTCAAGTGAGGTGCACCCCATGCACATGCTGTCTATGCCTTTTTGTCTAATACTTGTTGGAAGTGAACCATCTCCTCTAGTCTTTAATATATATACACCAACTTATTTTTTACTTATTTTTTTTCCTTTTCTATTTTGAGGGTCCTTTATTTATTTTTTTTTTCCTTTTAAAGAGTATTATATACGAATTTCACAGCATTAACACCATCCTAATACGCGTTGTCGTCGGTGCATGTCAATTGCATTCTAGCATATATATAGAGTCTCTGACTTCCCTGTATCAGAATTGGGTCAATCTATATATTTGGTAATATTAACTATTTAAATTGTGAATGCGCCTTTGAGTCTTTGTAGGCAATTTTCATTTCCCACCTTTAGTAAGCTTCTTCGATTTTATGTATATTAATAATATATCATATGTGTGTTATTTTAAATATTATTTAAGAACGAGTTTCATGCAGTGGACTTTAGAAGATAAATTGTAGTTTAATTTTAATTAATTAGTGACCAAAGAGTATGAAGATAATTGGCTCATATCATATTTTTTCCCCAAAAAGAAAATTCTAGTTATGAATAACATCATATATATGAAAATCTTGTGGTAAAAGGTCAAGCACCCAGCCAATTCAACCAAATTTCTAAAGAAATTTTTCAGACGAAAAATTATTCTAGCCGACAAGTCTCTGTGTTAAACAGTTAAATTTGTATAAAGTTCTACAAATTTTACCTCCTTTTATTTTAATATGATTATAACTA